TGCTATCAAATTCATCTTGTGGTGGGTGTGGAATAGACACCAGCCTGGGGTACAAAGGGGCTTCCAAGTGTAAAAACCAGGTGAGTCTTAATTCCCAGTGGGAGATACATATGCAGGGCCTTTTCTCTCCAGCCTAGCTTGGTGGAATGCAGCTTGAACAGGCAGAACAGTGGCAGAACAAGGAAACTTGCCCGATTCAAAAGGGCTCGAGACTCCGACCTAGTGTTCTTGACTAGCCCCACCATTCCCTGGGCTGGCTGGAGCTGGAAGCGGATGGTTGGAGACCGCTGGGCTAGTCTGTGACATGAAGAGCACCTGCACATCCGCAGGCCTTCATTCTCCCCGTTGTTGTGGGCATCCATTATTCTGAACCAGATCACAACCGAAAACAAACAGGAGATGTATCATCTGGTGTGATTCCTGTTGGTGCAAGGCCAACCAGCAGAGAAATGAAAGTCAGTACGCAAGGCCGCTGCATGTCACACAGAGCCAGGCTGGGCTGGGATACCGCCGCATAAAATCCTGGGGCTCCACTTGCCTGCAGGCTGGCTCTGCTTAGGAGGGGTCCCCAGCCTTTATGGCTCAGTGGGCATGCCTGGAATGTTGCCTTGTGGGCACTCTCACAAAATGGCTGCCATTCCCTTCAAGGAGCCGAAGGCCGGAACTGAGCCTTGCTGCCCGCACTGCAGCTCAAAGGCAGCCACGATGGGGTAGTGCATCGGACTCTGTGTCCTCCTGGGGGGAGGGGATGCAGCAGTCCAACCGGCGCTTCTCAAAGAGGCTTCGACTGCGCAATTGCCCTGCCAGTTAAGGTGCCTGGACACCATCACCTCCTCTTTGCACCCCCCCCTTCAGTTTTCCAGGCTTTTTTCTAATCGCCCACCCCAAAAAAAGGAATCAGTTGAGGACAGAAGGTAGACATGCTGTGCAAACGTCTTTTGACTATTAGCGGAGGCGCAGTCTGGAGGCACACCAGGAGGCACCCGCACAAACGCCCCAGAGGACCTGGAACGGACGGCAGAGGGCGACTTTTCCAGGATGCTCCCAAAGTCCGGGGGAAGCAGCGGTGCCTCCGCCACGCCCGTCTCCTCCGTCCGGGAGATGCTTTCCACCCAAATCAAGACAAGGGGCAGGTCGGAGAGGTGACTGAGGAAACGTCCGAACGATCCGGCAGAGGCCAGAGGCGCCCCCCGGGGGCGTGCGCAGCTCCCCGTTCTGAGGTGGAGGGGCTGGGGAGGCGCGTGGGGCCGCCGTCACTCCGCGGAGCTGCGCTCCCTCAGCACAGGCAGGGACAGCATCTCCGGGGCAGATTTCTTCCGGGGCCTGTCCGTGGGCACGCTGAGGAACTCGGGGGCTTCGCCGCTGAGCGGGGTGGAGGGGGCGCTGGAAGGGGTACGCTGGGTGCCCGGCGGCAGGCGCACCTCGCTGATGGAGACGGAGGGCGCCACCAGGCCGATGATCTCGTTGGTAGCCTCCTGCGTCTCCTTCTCGTACAGCCGCACCTCGTCCATCGTCATCCCTGCAGGAAGCAAGCGAGGGCTGGCGGTTAGAAAGGGCGGCCATCTCTGGGTGGAGCGAGAGCGGCAGGCTGGGGGGCAGCCTGGGGCAGTGGGCTGAGTTTGGGAGGCTTGGCACCCAGTCCTCACCCAGCAAAGATGCTTCCTGCGTGGCTTTGGACCACTGATTTCCAGCCTGGTCTACCTTTCAGGGTTGTTGTGAGGACAAGGAGGGGGCATTATGCAAGCTGCCCTGGATTCATGCAAGAGGAGAAAGGGTGAGCAATAATAATGTGATGCTTCTCCCTCACACGCTGTATCTTGCATAGGATGCTTCTCCTGGAGGGCGTCTCAAGGGCAAGAGAAGGCAGAGGCAGCCCTGGGGATGCAGCCCCCCCCCCCCCCCAAGGGTGTCACTCAGCCCTGGGGTTACAGCAGTACAGTTAGCAAGGGCATTCCTTTTGCCGGTGGGAGCAAACAGCCTCCCCGGAGAAGGCCCACCGGGTGCCTGCTCTGCGGTCTTCTCGGTTCTGAAGGAAGGCACCAAGATTTCCTGGGCGTTTAGCCTTTCAGTGTCAAAAATTGTGTGGGTGTAGTTTTAGGATTCCATGCTGCTGCTACCGCCAATCTTATTTGGCTTTATTCTTTTGAAAAGTAAGGCTTGAGATTCTGCTATGCTGTACTATGGAATTTTAAGCTCCATCTTGGAAACTGCTCCGGGTGCTTTGGCTAGTGGGTGGTGCAGGAACTTAATAAAAGCAGGGGCTCTCATACTGGTCTCATAAAGAAGAAATGGAACGGTTTTCCACACAGAGCGATGTGTAATACTTGGAGCGAGGCAGAGGCTTGGGTGGATCAGCCCCTTCAGGGCAAGTGAAACAAGGTGTCTCCCCCCACTGACCCAGCCATTTTCATGCTGTTTGGAGGATGCCCCAGGTTCCCAGGTGCACTGGCCTGGGGCCTCCTTTTTGGTTCCAGGTGAAACAGTAAAAAAATATCCCAGGCCTTAAAATGGATCACCTGCGTTTTAGCTTTCTGATCCATGGTTTATTTGGCATATATTTGTGATGTGCTTTAATTCTGTTCCCTGAAATTTCATATGCTGGGTGTTTTTATGCTGCAAACTGCTGTTCCACGATAAAGCATTTTAAACAGTATTGGATTGTTCTATGCTGTCTGTTACTGGGCTGCTTTACAGAAACACTGCAAACCGAAACTTGCATGATCTAGCATCGCACAACGGTGGGAAGCTTTCCCCTGAAGGGCAGCTTTCTTGCCGTTGCCCAACCTGCCAGGTCTAGGGAAAGAGTCTGGAGCAAATCCCAGCCAGGCCCCACGCAGACCACACTCACCCATTCCCATCCCGCTGCGCTGGGCCACGCGCCCGGGTGAAGGGGCATCACCTGGGAACATCAGCACTCGCCACTGCTCCTGTTCCCCAGGCACTGGCGCACCTGCTTCTCGCCCTTGGCAATAGGGCTGCTGAGGAGGGGGCCAGGGGGCCCAACCCGCTTGCCCAGGGGCTCCCTGCCTTCCAAGCAAGCAGGGGGGCAGCCATGAGGGGGAGGAGGCAGAGGAGCAGCACCTGGGGACCATGGTGGGGAGAAGGCAGACTCTCTGGGTAAGGGGGCGCACAGTGTGTCTTCACAAGGGCCCTCACAACCTGGAGCCAGCACCGCTGTGTATGTGTGTGCACACGTGTGCAGCCCCTCCAGGTTCAGACCTTGGTGGAGGGCTCTGGAACTCAAAGGCGTAGTAAGAGGAAGAAAGAAGCAAGGAAAGCTGCCCCGAGGAGCCAGCACATCTGAAAGCATTTCCCAGCAGAAGGGCTGGTCTAAGCGGGTCTGTTCCCCCGATTCTTAATGCCAAGGAGGGCACGGGGGAGCTCCTCCTCAGGGGACAAAAGCGGGACAGCAAGGCCTTCCAGAACCCCCAGCCCAGCAACGGCTTTGTTCTAATAATATGAGCCCGCGTGGCGCAGTGGTTCCGGTCACAGGGCAACCTGCCTTCTAGTCCCTGCTCAGGTATGGAGCCACCTGGGTGACTTGGGGCCAGTCACAGACTCTCAGCCCTACCCACCTCACAGGGTTGCTGTTGTGGGTTAAGATTGAGAGCTGGAGGAGGAGAGTGAGACAAGCCACTTCGAGTTCTTTAAAAAGAAAAAAAGGCAGGCTATAAAGCAAGCAAGCAAGCAAGCAAACGTGACCAAAACATCCCCATAAAAGTTTTTGCTTGACAGCAGGTTCTAGATGTTTTCTTACAGACTATCATAGCTTCTTTGGTTTCTTGAAGGTTTTCTGGCCGAACAGAGTAGTCTCATAAAAACATACATCTCGGATTCCTCTCTCAATGCACATGCTTAGGCTGTATCTACATCAGACTTTTTGAAAAGAAGGAAGATTTATGGCTTTCCTCAAAGGTCTCTGGGAAATGTAGTTCTTGTCAAGGGCACAATGAACCATCCTCCAAAGGATGCAGAATAAGATGGCAGAATTCTGGACTGGACCTCATCGAACTGCAGGTCCTCTCCTTTTTGTAGTTCAGTTCCTTGCAGGTTCAAGGACTGTGCAGGTCTCAGATTCAATCCCTGATATCTGCAGGTAGGACACCTGCCTGAGGCTTCAGAGACACAAGCCGTGCAGGGCTAGCTGGACTAATGGTCTGACCTCACAGGGTGCAATTCTATTTAATTCGGCTCCTTATTCAGAACCATGACAACTAGAAACTTGCTTTATTTTTAGGTGAGGGATCATAGCTCAGTGACAGAACCCATGAGTTGCACGAGAAGGCCCCAGATTCATTCCCAGGCATTTCCAGGGATGGTTCCTGGCTTTCTGTGTGTACAGAAACTGTACTGTCACACACAGTACTGTCTCACATTGAGAGACAGGTTTGGCCGACCTGCGGCAGGAATGGGCAGAGGTAGTCTCCAAACATTCTGGACTTCAGTTCCCAGCATTCTGTCTATTGGCTGTGCTGACAGGGGCATCTGGGAGCTGAAGTTCAACATGTGTGGAGACATACTTTCAGTCCAGCCCTGGTTTTCAGTATGTAACAAGCTTTTTCTCTAAAGAGCATCCAAAGCTACAGGTCTCTGCTCCATCGGCAGTCCAAGATGCGTTCAAAATTCTTGCCACTTAATGCTTGGACCTGCTCTGAGAGGTGCAGTGCAGGACCAGGAAGCCACGTGACAACAATGCCCAAGCTTCTTGCAATGAAACATTCAGGATCCCTTGCAAAAGCCACAAAGCCCGTTAGAAGTTCACTACGTAGAAATACCCTTCCTGCGCTGCCCTCAGTGGCTCCGTTTCTTGGGTACACGGACAGGAAAGGCCTGACTGGATCTACAGGGATGGAGTACCTTAGCCAAAGTAGGGTGAGGGGGGCGGGCAGGGGTGAGGTGGAGCTGGGGGAGGAAGCTGTCGTTCTCAGATTCAGCTCGGCAAACAAAGGCCAAGCCAAAAACCTACATACAAAACGGGGAGCCCTGGGCCAGGTGGGGTGCTAGGGATCCCGCGTGAGGAAGTTTTTGTCTGTGGCCACATGCATCTGAATCTTGAAGGCATGGACCTCCTCCGGGGACATGCCTGGAACACGCAGAGACGCTTTCACTGCTCAGGTACGTCAAAAGGAGGAACGAGGCACCGACCCAGGAAATGCAAGCGGAATGTGGCCGTGCGGAATGCAAGACTCTTCCCTCGTGCAAGGCACCGGACCCCAACGAAGAACACGAGCAAGCGAGTTCCTGCCCATGCCCATTTGGGCTTCCCCTTCATGTTGCCAAAAATGTTGTGCCCCAAAGAGCCGCTCTGTCGCAGTGCTTGGGGCGGGTGGCAAGAGCAGAGGGCTAAAAAGACAGCCAAGTTTGGGTCTGGCAGCCACGTCTTCCTCCTCATCTTTTCAGTTGTAATATGCAGGGCTCCTGAGCAGGATTCTACAATCTCCCCTAACACCCCTCCCGCCATGCTAGGGTCCCAATCCAAACTGGGTCTCCACCCCTACTCTAAAATTTTGTTTTCACTTTTTAAGCCCCACTGTTTGGGGCTTCATCAACACAAACACTCAAAGGTTTCAGATTTCCTTGCTTATTGAACTGTTGGTACACTATTTGGCTGTTATTTCAGAATATTTAATGAATTTTTAAAAAACCCACAAACATGCAGAGAACTGAACTGGAAACAGAGGGACCGATTCCCAAACAGCGTGCTAAGGTACCTTCGCAGGCTCAAATGTATTGCTAGACAGGCAAAAGAAATATGTCCAGCCAAGGCTCCTGTGAATGCAGAGAGAGATGCCCCTGCTCTGCTCTGCTCTGGCTGGGTTCTCATCAGCCTCTCCAGGCTGGAAAGGCGATTCTGCTAAGCAGGACCCTGGGCCTGATGGGACTATGCAGCTGCTCCTCAGGGAGAGAAACAGCAGCGCAACCGGTCTACAAAGAAGGCCCAGCCAGGGCAGAATCACAGAATCCCGCGAGCCACGTTCCCCTTCCTCCTGCGGCTGCCCCTTCACCCTGGCTTTCTGCCTGGGCAAGGCCATATCAAGCATCTGCTGCAAAGGGCAAGGCAGAGGTGAGGAGCAGGGAACAGGGTCAGAGGAAGAATGCACAACGTGTAGCTGGAATTCTTGCACTGCCTCTGGTTGGCAGTGCCCAGCAAAGTGGGTAGAAGGTTTTCTCATGCTAGATTTTTCTATAGAATTCCCCCTCCCATTTCTGGAAACAGCACTGCTTCATAAAGGTAATTTGCAATGCTCATACTGGCTTGTAAATACACACAAACACGATCTTCTCACGACTACGGTGAGAACAAACTGGAATGGAAACCCCGAAAGTCCGATTCAGCCGGCCCGCACGGCTCACCTGCAGGCTCCCGAGGGCCTGGGGCCCGTCCCCTGCTCCAGCCCTGCCTGGCCATCCCTCCCACGGCGCTGCTTGCGCTCCCCCCTCCCGGAATTTACTCCTTTCACACAGCACGAGGTGGCTGCAGCAGGCCCCTCCAACATGGCACCACTGAGATGATTAGAATAAGAACTCCCATCAGCCCCAGCCAGCATGCTCAATGCTCACAATGTCAGTGGGTGATGGAAGATGCAGTCCAAAACATCTGGGGGGGTACTGCTGTTGGGAAGCCGGGCTATAGGTTTCTAATGCTGCAGAGTCTCCTGTGACAGGTAGGAGAGGAGCGTTCCAGAGGCACAGAAGTCTGAGGAAGCCACGAGCAGCAGCAGAGGGCCCGGCTGTTAGCCCCGGGTGGCTGTGCAGGAGCACGCGGGGAGGCCAGACCCGGGCCTCCTTCGCCACAGAGGAAGGAAACTTCCTTGGGCTTCGCGGCCAGAGCTTGACCCGTGCCAGCCTGATCACATGCTGCCGCCCACCTTTGCCAACTAATATCCACTTTTGGTCATGCTGTGCTCAACCGTGAAAGTCCCCCATGGAAAGCCACTACTTTGGCAGGAACGAAAGGCTTTGGAAGAGCATTTTGCTCTTTGCAACAGCACCCCCTCAAGTTCGGAATCAGCTACTGGATGTCCCGGAAAATCTCCACTTGCACTAAAGGAGCAAACAGAAGGCACGTTTCCAGCCCTTGGGGTTGCAGCCTCAGGCCTGGAAATACGTGGTGCTTGGTGAGACCTCCGAAAGACCGTGCAAATAACGCGGCCTGTTTGGTTGCTGGGAGACGGGCTTCTCACCAGGCACTTCCGTGCCTCTCTTTGCCCAACCTTGCTTGCAGAAATCCTGCCAATTCAGCCCAGCAGTTTGGGATCCAGACTTCACCCCACTGAAGCACAGATTTGCTGAAATTCAAGGGACTTCAGTCAGTCACAACTAACCGATGTCCTTACTTTGCTTCTCTGCTGGTTAATTATGTTCCTTGCTACCAACACAAAGCAGCAAAGTCAGGCACTTGCAGCCTTCAGGGGGTGCGGGGAGGAACAGTGCTGCAGTCGGGTCATCGGAGTCCTGCTTGGAGGTCTGCCATGAGCCAACAGACCCCAGTTCTTGGCAGGGGCTGTGGCTCAGGGGTGGAGCCACTGCTTTGCACGTGGAAGGCCCCAGGTCTGATAGAATTGTAGAACAGTAGAGTTGGAAGGGGCCACACAGGCCATCAGGTCCAGCCCACTGCTGTTGCAGGACACCATGTTACACCATCCGCTCAGATGGTTGTGCAGTTTCTCTATTAATGTCTCCAGTGTGGGAGCGCCCCCACCTCTCCAGGCAGCTGGTCCCACTGTTGTGTTGCTCTGACTGTGAGGAAGCGCTTCCTGGTGTCCAGCCTGAATCTGGGTTGTTGCAACGTAACTTGATTATTCCGTGTCCTGCACTCTGGCATCAGCAAGGGGAGATCTTGACCCTCCTCTTTGTGGCAGCCTTTGAGGTACTTCTAGAGGGATACCGTGTCCCTCTCATCCTTCCCTTCCCAAGGCTGACCATGCCCACTTCTCTCAGTCCCTCCTCACAGGGCAGTGTTTCCAAGCCCTGCATCATTTTTGCTGCCCTCCTTGGACCCTTCCTAATCTTTGATCCCCACCACTTTCAGAGAGGGCAGGAAATCCTCCTCCCTGAAACCTGAGGTGCCACTGCTGCTGGTCAGGCCAAGAAAACGGGACGAGGAGGGCGCTGTACAGGGGTGCTGCAAGCTGCCCAGGGGTACATCCGCCCAGGGGGCCACGGGCACCACTTTGGCACTTCTTGACCGGCAGCAGCTCTCCACCGATTCACGCAGGATTTCCCCAGCCCGACCTGGACCCAGATCAGCCGTGTATGGTCCTGACTTGGTTTAACGTGCATTCGGTTTTGAAGGATTCCTTCCTGCACCCGCCCCTCAGCCTCTCCTGCAGACTGCACTTTTGAGGGAGGTTTTCAGTGAGGGAACGAGCCCCTGTCCTGCCTCCGCTCGTTGCAGAGGAGGCTTCTGCGACCATCAGGACTTGCGCCTTGCATGGACACTGAGCTGGGGAGCCAGCGACACGCTTGGGAGCAATTGGCTGGAACCTGTCTGGTCATATTGCCCGGCTGTGGAGCAACGGCCTGGGAGAGGAAGGTGTGAGCCTTTGCCTGGCAAAACCACCCCCACCCACTGAAAACACAAGTCACTTGATCAGGGGGGAAGGACCTGGGAGATTGGCACTGCTAGGGTTGCTGAAACATTCTCACTCTCCAGTCAGTGCTTGTTTGAAGGCACCTCTTCTGTCTTTATGTGTAGATCTATGGGCAGGACTCATGTCAACACCCCACCCCACCAGTGTCCCAGCAAGGGGCCCTGCTGGGGGCCCCTTTGTCCAATGGTGGGCAGCGATGAACCACAGACCGAAATTTCTGACAATGCAACACGACAGCAGGTCATTCTGGGAAATGCAAAATGGCGGCCACCTGCCACGGGACACGGTTGCTGATGCCCACCGGAGGAGCAGGGAAGGGGAACAAGGCAGCGCTGGCCCTTTGCATGTGGGGCCAGCAATGGACGGAGCAGCAAGCCAGCAACCAAACTAAATCGAGGAGCAGATGCAGGAAAAGGGGAAGGGGGAGAAATGTGGGGCGGGGGGTTGAGGGGGAAGGTTAGGGGTGTGAGAAACGGAAGTGGAGAAACCTTGTTCCACCTGCCACAGAAGGTGCTTGGAGGAAGATAAATTTTCTGCTATTGCATTTACCCTTGGCGGCCTTCCTTAAACCTGCCATCTCTCCAGATGTGTTGGATCACAATTACCATCACTCCCTGGTGAGATAGGCACTGTAGTCCAACACATCTGGAAGGGCGCCAGGGTTGGGGAAGGCTCTAAATGCTTTCTTAAAACAGTAATTGGCTTCCTCAGAAGCTAAGGAAGGGTTGCGTTGGCAACTGGGTCAGGGCGCTGTCCCAGGAAGGTCAGTGGAGGACCAGGCCAAAGAGTTCACTTTGAGAGAGGGAGGGCGACAGCACGAGACCGTGGCTCTCGCATGACACCAGGGAACTGCAAACTCTTTGACATGAGACCTTCTAGCACATACTTGTGGAAATCTTATGCCAGGCTTGGTTTACTAGAAAAGCCATTTCTGGAAAGAATCCATATGCGGCAAGGAATCCCAGCTGTGGCTGTCTATTAATTCACTTTTGCTTTTAATAGGAAATATAATTCATTTTGGGGTTTTAGTATGCTTTGCAAGCCACCGTAGAGAGCTTTAAAAATCCAAAGAAGGATTGCAAAGATTTCAGAATGCAAAATTACCGAAAAGAAGCAGGATTCTAATTTCCTGGAAGACCTTGATCACAGTTCCAGGGAATGCTAACTGAAGGCGTTCTAGTGCTTCACAGTCGACGGCACTGCGTCTAATGGCCCATTCTCGAGGATGTTGATCAGGGAGCTCAATTACCTTTTAACCACCTCATCACATACTCACAATCGGGAAATTTAAGATGTGCTAAAGGGTGGAAGTCTTCTCCCATGAACTCCGTGCATGTTGCCAGACAGAAAAGAGGGCTTGGAGCCATTATACTTGCTGAGAGACAGAGGGTGGTAGATTTTCCAGGTGGATAAAAGCCAAACACAGCGATGCAACAGATATAACAACTGGGGCAACCAACTGGTTGCCCTCTAAAGGTTTAGGCCTACACTTCCCATTGGCCTTAGCCAGCATGACCAATAAGTAGGTGAGGGATTATGGGAGCTGTAGTCCAAACATCTGGACAGCACAGCGCCAGGTTCACAGCACAGGAATTCAGCTCAGGAGACTTGCTGGGTGGGGACTGGAGAGATACGGGAATCCAAGGGAAAGGAGGCCTGGGGCAGCGAAGGACAAGGGGCAGGTGATCCAATGGTCCACCCAGCTGACTGATAGGTTTAATCCCTCCCTCCCTCCCTCCCACCCACAAGCCCCACCAGGCCAAGGGGGCTGACTTACCACACCACTCGTCCACCCAGGCAAAAGCTTGTCGGTGTCCTATCAGCAGGATATCCCGGATAACCTGCAACCCAAAATGTCATGAAAGGCACCAAAGGGACTTTCGGTCCTTTGTGGGGCCTGGAACCAAGCAAACTCCCCAGGGAGGAACCCAGGCAATGGGCCCCGTATTGCCGCACTCGTGGGGAGGCTGCCTTGCGGCCTGCAGCAGGCGGAGACCCATGCAGACGGGCTTCTTCTCCTCTGGATCTTGCCCTCAGGCTTGATCGGACGCGTGGGCAGCAGGACGCGTGGGCAACAGACAGCATCATGTCCGGGTGGGGTCGCCCATGGAGCGTTTTGTGTGTGTGTGTCTGGGGGGGGGGGGGCGTGTCGCCTTGCCTGCTGTGTGGCATCCCCGCTTGAAGGGAAAGAGCCAGCTCAGAACACCTCCCGGAGACCCTGGCTTTCTACTTGAGAAGATCTTTTTGTTTTCTTTCTTTCTTTCTTTCTTTGTTGACACAGAGGATTCAGGGTGCCATCCTGCGCCTGCAGCGGCACGGCCAGTCCATCACCTCTGCATTTCACACCACCTCATTCTGCTGCACACGGAGAAGGCACTGGGCTCGGGCATCAGCTCACAGCAAAAGTCACAGAGCAGTTGAACCCCGACCCAGGCCTGGACACCAGTGCTGGGCTGAAGCCCGATTGCCAGCAGCCTCTCGAAGTGGGGTGCCTCCCACCCTGGGAGCCAGACACCTCCGGGGGCCCAGATCCTGCAAGAGCCAGGGTTTCGGAGTGCCCATGTCAGCTCACCACACCCAAAGCAAGAGCCGATGGCGTGGCGGCAGAGCATCCTCCCAAGCGAGGGCTGCATTCCCTCTCAGGGGTTGGGCAGGGCCAGGGGCAAGGGGTGGGGCTTCCAGTACCCCCAAACCTAGCATGCTGCACCTTAGGGCTCTGGTTCTCAGGAGCCCAGCCTTGCAGGAGGCCGCACAACCCTTTATACTGGGGGAAACCTGTGTGAGAGCCAGGAAGCTACCAAACCATCAGTGGTTGTGGGAAATGGGCGTGGCTGTGTAGGGAGCCCTGCAGAGCCAGTGTGGGATCCCGGGAGGGACACATTCGACCGCCAGGCCTGCGGTGCCTTTAAGACTTTCCGGTTGCAGGAAAGGGCAGCATGTGACCAGGCCCGTCTGGCCCAAGGAGGGATCCAAGGCCTCAGCGGCGCTTCGGTGGCACTGGGTCAGGCACGATCCAAGGTCCTGCAAGGCCAGGCCGGCCCTGCCCAGCTGGCTCAGCTGCCCTCAGGAGCTGTTGTGCCCCGCGGACTCAACGCCCAGGCTATGGCAGCAGCAGCAGGGCGTGTACTCCGAGCTCATTGCTCTGCTGCAGCCCCACAAGATACAGCAGCTTCTCCTTGCAGTGAGATGAGCCAGCCAGAGGGACTGAAGTGCTCCTTGCGAATTTCCCTCTGCCACATCCCGAAGCAGTCCGGCTTCCAGCCATTGCCTGAACACCCCAGGCTCCAAATATCCCTGGAGGCAAGACTGCCCTGCATCTCACCTTGTGGACAAACTGTTCCACCCGTGTCTGCAGGCCCCACACTTCAAACTTGACCGTCACCAGCTTGTAGGAGCACATGATGGGCTTGGTGTGTTCCCGCCAGCCCTCTCGCAGTGGGCCGCGACCAGTCTTCACTGAGCTGAAGTACCGGAGGTCCTACCGTCAGGGAGAAGAGGAAAGACAGAACAAGAGGAGTTTACACATCACAAATATTCATCAGCAACAACATGTGTCTGTGGCATGCGGTGCGCAGTTCCGCTTTCTTTGCAGCAATGCGTGTGGTCCTGAATATTTGTCACTCAAAAATTTGACTCAGTGTTTCAACACCAGCAGGAATTTGAAACCCTGACTTTAGAAGATCTTTAATTTTCAAGAATTGCTGTTATTAGTACCATTGTGATGTCGAATCAATTCCTTTCCTAAGAATCAATTCCTTTCCTTTCCGTAATTTCCCTTAATTATGGCAATATTTTCCAAACCACTGCTATCTGAAGTGTGCTTTTTTGTTTGAATTGGCATTCCAGGTGCTTTATTTGCACCATAAAAGTTTTATTCTAGAGCATGTCCACATAAACTAGGGATGGGAACATGCTGGCCTGCAGGCCAAAAACAGGGTGTGGGCCTTTCCCCATTCAGCCTGCCAAGGTTCTCCCAAGCCCTTAACCCTCCTCCCAGCCCAGAAAAGCAATGATAAGCCACTGATAGGAGATAAGACCACTTCCCTCCTGAGCATCCTTCGTAGGGTGAAAAAAGCACCCATGAGAGAGAGTTATTTTGTTCCCATCTCCTTTTCTTCCTCATCATGTTTTTTTAAACACTCCCTCAACAAGCAAATTATTCTTTCATCAGCATAAACTTCCTTATTAAAGCTGTAACTTTTAGATCACCACCTCTCCTGGAAGTTTTCCTTTTGGGTTGTTTGCGCCTTTAAGGTTTTACCAAATAATGTTGTTGTTAGTCGCGAAGTCGTGTCCGACCCATCGCGACCCCATGGACAACACTCCTCCAGGCCTTCTACTGTCAAATTGAAATGAGAGAGGCTTATAAAATATGTGGAGGGAATGGGCAGGGAAACTTTTCTTCCTTAGAATAATAAAACCTGAGGTCTTCCTACGAAAGTGAGTGGTGGAAGATGCAGGACAGATTTAGGAAAGACTACGTCACGTGGCGCGCAGCCAAACTACTGCGGAATTCCATCGCACAGGATGTTACTCGTAGGCTGGCCAGTGACTTGGATGGTTCGAAACATGGCTAGGAAAATTCACGGAGGTGGCTGCCATCCATGGATGCTAGTCCTGGCGGCCAGGTGCAGCCTCCAGGATCAGGGGCACTGTGTCTATGCACACCATTTGCTGGGGAACATGGCTGGGAAGGTGCTCTTGCATGCCCTGTTTCTGGGGTTCCCAGAGACATCCAACAGGGGGTTCTGGGGAATAGGATGCTGATACATCTGGTCTGTACCCTTGGGGTTCTTACGCTCTTCACAGGATCAAAGGTGGAGTTAAGGGGTAGCCCACTAGGCCTGGAGCCCCAGATCTTCCATTTGCAGCCCTGGCTCTCATCTCTGCCTCCCACACTGCTGTCCAGCACTTGCTGAAACAGAGGTCCAGGGGCCCGGTGACTGTTGTTGCAATCAGATGCCCCCTGGCTGGATGGCTTCTGGCCTGCACACGCTTCAAGCCTTGCTGCTGCTCAGCCTTGCGTCCTGCTAAGTTTGTTTCCCTGAAATCAGAGGCCCTCTTCTCTGTCCCTTTCTGTAAACAAGGATGTGCAGTGGCACCAGAGTCCTTTAAAGATGATCGCACAGACTTTGGAGTCTATGGACAGTAGCATATGCACAGCTGCGCATCTTTTGCCCTGTGGGCCTGAGTTCTGGTTTTTCTGATACCACACACCACCCTTCATCAGGATAGCCAAATGAAGCCTCCATGTTTAGAGGCAGTGTACCTTGAAGTACCCACTGATGGGGGACAAACCTAGGGAGAAGACTATTACCTTGAAGGCTTCGTTGTGGCTGGCCACTATGAGAAGCTGGGTGCTGAACTCAGCTGTGCCTTTGGTCTGAGCCTGCCTGGAGGCCCATCTGTCTTCTTAGGGAGGTGGGAAGATGAAACCCAGCCAAGACAAAGGGTACATGCACCAGTGGGGGATGAGGGTTTCCCTTGGTCCACAGCAAGCCATTACCTCCAGGCTCCGGTAGTACCGCTCAGGGATTTCATCAAAGGCAATGTCCAGGAATGTCACTTCGTGGTCTCCCAGTATCTTTTCCCTGTGAAAGATCTGGGGGGGGGGGGGGGGGGGGCAGAGAGGAGAGATGGGCTATTAAACTAGCAGCTGGCATGGGAGATGAGGCAGATGGTGGCCAGTTAGAAGCAACCAAGTGAGGAGGGAAAGTGGACTGTGAAACCAGGTCTTCTGTGGGCCAAGGCAGGCAGCTGCTTTCTCCACACCACGTCGGCCTGCCTCCTGCAGCAGCTTGGGCCCCAGAGCTTCCCCCTCGTCCTCTCCTTCAGCCCGAGGCTGCAAGCAGAATTCTGCCTCAGGCAACACTGCCCACCTCCTGCTCGCTCTGGATTTTGTCCCGCTCTCCACCCTTCACTCCAACCTTCCTCCAGCACCTGATGGCCTCCAGCTGATTTAGGTTACCATTCCCAGCATCTCTGGCTAGGGGGGGCTCCTGGGAGTTCAAGGCACACATGCCTGGAGGACATGGGGATGGAGAAGTGCCAGCCTCCATAGGGTGGGTGGCAATCTTGCCAAGATCCAGGCAATTCACAGGAAGGCGTTTCTGGTGAATTGTGGAATTCTTGCCCTCTTTTCCCTTAAATCCAAATGCAGAATGAGGTCATTTTACAACTAATAGGCATTAGTCATGCCCTGAACCCTGCAGGGTGTGACTAGAGGCTGCATTCTGCCCATCCTTGGCTACAATCTTCACTCCTGCAGTCCGTTGAGAGGTCTTCTGGTCCCCCAAGAGACAGCTGTCTCCCTTGCTCTCCCGTTTGCTTGAAACAGCTACCCAAACCCCCAGCATGGTGCAGCCTCTCCCGTCTGCCTCGAATTTATCTTCACAGCCCAGGTTTTCCAGGCAGCCCCTGGGCAACCTGCACTTCGGGCAGCAGCCCAGACTTTAAAGGAGCTGTCCATGGTGCTGAATGTGCTCCCGTGGTTTTCAACTGCCGGTCTGTGGACTGGCGCCAGCCCGCTGGCGTTTCCGGCCAGTCTGTGGCTTGACAGGGCCAGCGCAGGGCCAGCTGCGCTCTGGCTGCTGATTCCCCGCCTCTTCCTCGGCCAAGGAGGGCAGAGACAGCTCAACGGGAGCCAGCTGGGAGCTACACCACGCGGGTTTGCCCTCTGGGCAGGGCCCCGAGATCCGGCCTTTCCCTTTTCCTGCTGTGTCTTCTGCTGTTAAGGGAAGCACTGAGGTGGGGTTCTGCTGAGCGTGTTTTCTCAGCCATTCTGTGCTGCTGAGTATGGCGGTTTGAATGGGTGAGTTTCATTGTATTTTATTATTTAAAATTATGAATACTATTGTTCTAAGTAACCTTGTTTGATTTTGTAATGCTCAGCTGTTAATATGCTATTTGAATTTGTATTTACTGTGAGCAAAGTATTGCATATATTGATTTTGTATTTTGCTATTCTAAATTTTTGATCAAATATTCTTGAAAAGAAGCAACAGCAGACTTCACAGTAGCCTTATTTAAATTACATGTTGCTCTCCAAAAAAATCAGTTGTATTTGATTACATTTGATTTCAATATTTTATTTTATTCACATTTTTACTGCTCAGTTTCTGGTTAAATTTAGAGAATTTTCATTTTTGGTGCTATATTTAAAAAACAATACACAAAATACTACATTATGTATATAATGTTATTTAGTTCTGCCTGAGTGGTCCCTGAAATAATTTTCCTATATTTGCCAGCCCGCAACTCTAAAAAGGTTGAAAACCACTGTGTTCAAGCAGCTGGCCAGTCTCTTTTTTAAGTTCAGACTGTAAACGTGGGTGGATACACTGCCCCACAGACACTGCAGCATGAGACTCAGTGGCCAAGACCCGTGCCTACTGCCTGAGCCTCAGTTGCCGCCCTATGCTGGATTTTAGATTTAGATTTCATGCTCCTTGGGGCAGGGACCAGCCTCCTGCCCTGTGTGAAGAGCATGATGGGTTAATCCAACATCAGTCAGCAAGGCTTGCAGATTCCCTAAAAGGACCTCAAGCTCCGACGCGAGCAGTCGAAAGGTCGAAGGAGCTGTCCACAGTGCTGAATCCTGCCCCCCTGAATTCAGCACCACACACAGCTCTTTCCAGGTTCGGACTAAAACTTTGGGTGGTTACCCCCGCCCCCCGCGCCCCCAAGCACCTCAGCCTGAGAAAGCAAGGGATTCAGGGCTGGACGGGGCCTGGACTTCCCCGCCCTTTCGTGAGCACTCACATCTGTGCTGTCTCCGCAGTTATCCTCGTATTTGGTCTCTATGTAGATGGAAAACTTTGGCAGAAAGGAGCACTGCAGAAGGAGAGAGAGAATTTGAGAAGGCAAGCAGAGGGGTGCTATTGAAAGCAGAAGGCAGCCCCGCATCTGCGGCTAGGCTCTATTCCCACCTGCCTACCCACAATTACGTAACATGCTGGGGACACACTTTGTGCTAAGATAAAAGCAAAAAGCAAAACAAAAGTCTGCACCAAGAGAATGGCAAAATTCTGGCAACTGGGCAAAGCAATGAAGATGAAAGATTTCTCCTATTTTTGTGCTATTTGTTCTGCTTTTTGCTAGTCATGAAGGAGAAGGTTATGGAGGGCACAGAAAAGCTTGTTCATGCTTCCCACACATGTTCAAGCATATATCTTCTCATTCATAAGGGCTAGAAACTTTGGCCTTTTGTTGCGGCTGTTGTGGATTAGAACACCGGAATTTTCAAGAAGCTAAATACTGCCATCTGTGTGATTTCTGCACTCCTGCCAAAAGATGGTTGGAGCATAGCCTCTCAGTTAAGTAATACTTCATATTGATATTAATTTTGATAAATTAACGAGGGGTTATTATTATAAAATGATACAGCAACCAAACACTGAAATCCGGGGTGCTTCTATGTCTGTGGAGTTTCTTGCAGCTCATATTTTGAACTCCACCCACAAAGAAGGTTCACCACCATGGATAACTTCTATACAGCTCAAATTGAAAGCTGCATTGGATAAGGTGCCCTGGCGTCGCCCTGTAAGTACGGCCTTTTTGACGTAGGCAAGGCCCGTTGCCACTCAGCCCTCTGCAAATTCACCCAGAGTTAAGTCCCGCCACACTGTTTCATCGCATGGCAGCCCTCATGCACGCCTTCCCCATTCCAGTTTATGAAACCATCAGAATGAAGCGTCAACGCTTCTCTTGACCTGCACCACTTTCAAATGCAGGGCGTGTGTGAGAAAGTAAAGTGGAACAGGTCTGGTCTGCTTTATTTCGCTCATCTTTCAAGCTGCTGAGAGATCAGAACGATTTTGTGTGGGCTGGTACACGGTCACTGAAAAGGTCCAATGCATTCTGCAATCTATGAAACCTGGCCTTGTTTGCACAGTTTGCGGAAAGGGAGGAGGGGTTCACGGATGCCGACTGGTGCTCGGAAGAGACCTGGCGCTTGCAGTGGCGTGTGCCTGTGTGTCTGCCTCCCTCTCCACTCTTCCTCGCTTCCCTTTGTACCCCCTTGCTCCCTCGATGCTGGAGACACCCTGGGTGTTCTCTCCACATTCTCTTCTGCAGGAGAAACAAAGGCGCACCGAGGTTGTCAGCACTTACCGTGTACTCTGAGTCAAAGGCAAGGCAATTCCAGAAGTCCGCAGGACAGCAGGAGAGAGAGCAGAGAAGAGCAGTGATGAGACGGGGAGAGCACAGACACGACTGCAGCCAGAATGAGGTTTCTCCCCAGCAGGCTAACTCTTCCCAGGTCCCCTCTGGCTGTTTTGGCTGTTAGCCCCATTTCTGCAGGGGCAGCTGCAAAGAGGAGCCAGCTAACCCTTTGCCCAGCCTGCCCAGAGGAGGGCCAGAACTCCAGCTGATGGCCAGGCAGATTCCTGTTGCCTCAGCCAGCATCTTGGGAATTTTACGGGACTGACGTGATTCCATGAGGGCAGTCACTGAAGTGCCCACAGTGCCTTCCACTCAGCAGGAGCCCGAGTCCTGGGCAGGAGGAAGTGACGGGGCTTCACTAACATGGTGTGGAAGGTTGCCTCAACTGCGAAAGGTGCCCAGGAGGAGGAGCTGCATCCGGCACCTTGTCCAGGGCTCTGGCAATCAGCTGCTCACAGAAAATGTGGAGCAAGGCACCAGTGCCACAGCGCCGGACCGCCCATGTTCCCCAGCAGCTGGTGCGCAGGCACACTGCCTGATCTGGGGGCAGCCAACAGCCATCCAGACGAGTCGCCTCCTCCTCCTCCTCCTCCATGGATCTGCCCAATCCCCTTTTTCAGGCCATCCAAGTGGAAGAGCAGAGCCACCTTTCTAGGCTTGCAGCTGGATGGAAGCAGAGCAGGGGGTTGGGCTTGACGGCCTGATAGGAGAGGAGCTGAGCTGGAAAGGGCCTGTCTCATCCTCTCCGAAATGCCATCCTTTAACTCTGCCCCGGGTGAAGAAGCCCTTCCTCTGATCTGCCCTTCACGGACGGGGTGGCCCCACTGGGCTCTAGAATCGTGATGAGGGAGAGAAGGTGGCTCCCTCCCCAACACGCGTCGCTTGTGCCTCAGGCCGGCCTGCCCTCCTCCTGATGTCGTCACTGCGCCTCCCTGGTCCAAGCCGGCACGAACGGCCTCAGATGAGGGGCGCGAGCGTCCAACCTACTCTGAGTGCGCCAGGTTCCCCACCCCTGATGCAGGACGGGGGGCGGGGGGCAAGTGGTGCTCCTCCAGACGTTCTGCTCTGTAACTCCCATGACCCCTTATTTAACGGCTGAGCTGGTTCAGGCTAATAGGAGGTGCTGAGCAAAACTTCTGCACCGCCAGAGTCTCCTCACCCCCAGTAGGGGAATGGCAGCTTCAGGCGTCCCGTCCTTGCTCAGTGGGTCCAGCTGGGTTTTCAGAAGCGGGGTGACAGTCCCAATGCATTTAATTGCTGCAGGACCACTGCCCAATCACGCGGTGGGGGAGGGGCTAGTGCATGGGGTGGGGGAGCAGGACCGCCTCCCCGCTATGCTTGCACCCCCTCTCTGTCAGCGCTCTGCCCTTCTGGCCTCCCTGTGCTCAGGCTGAGGGTCGCGCGAGTACAGCCAGTTCCCAGGCGGGGTGGAGCTGGTGAGGGGAGCGGCAGCACTGGGGATGGGGAAGGGAGCCCCCTCCCCTCGTGCAGTCATGAATGCTTGCAGGGGGCTCGGGGAGGCGGCTGAAGACCCAAGGGCAGGCGCAGGGACTGTGTAGTCCACTAGGAGTTGTGGATCCCCACGCCTGCTGCCCTGCGCCACTGGCTGGGTTCAGACAGAGCAAGAAACCACACACACGGGTTGAGGATGGCCAGAGGTGTGCTGCTGTTGTTGGAACATGGGTTGCCATGTTGTCTGAGCCCGGCCAAATTAACAAACCATGCTGAACAACCCAGGGTCACCAAGGGGTGTTGGTAGTTCACATGCCATGGCTTTTTAGTACAGATGGATTCAGACAAAATGATAACCCATGAGTAACAACAGCACACAATCAACCCAGGGTCTTCTGAACCCAGTTGATTTCTATGCTGGCTAGGGATGATGGAAACTGCAATCCATGTAGAGAGGCATATACTCTTCAAACGTTCCATGGCAGGGCACCTCAGTGGCACGGAGAAGGTTCTCAGATCAGTCCTCATAGGGAAGACCTCTCAGGAACATGCGGAAATGCACCTTATCTCCCCAAGAACTGGCTGCGCAGGCTGAGGAGGATGGGAATTTCCGTGCAGCGGACGCTGGGGGCCCGTGGCCGAGAACGTCCCGTGTGACCCCCAGCCACAGTAATGCCAGTGGGCCAAACCAGCACAGCCAGCCTTGTCCCTAGGGGAAGAACCCCTGCAGTTCTCCTTCCATTGCTATCATTCCTTGGATAGGGAATTAAAAACGCAGCATTTACCTTGGTCAAAATACGCACCTGAGGTTTGGGATGAGAAAACGTAAAGACCCTTTTGCAAAGAGAAAAGAGTTGCGCTCCCTCCCCTCCAATTCCACGTTCAAAATCCAGCAGGATGGGAAGCAGAATCTGACTTTGGTGCTGGCAACAGAACAGCACCCCCCACCCCCGCCGCCATTTTTCCTGAAGGCAACAATCCCACTCCTGTGGCACATGGGGCCCGCCAGAAAAGCTCTCCTTACCCGTGATGGTGTACGGGTAATAGTTCCAGGCCTTCTCCGTGATGTAGAATATCCGTGGGGTCACAGCGCGGGCCCAGCTGGGCAGCTTGCTGCAGCGAGACGGCCGAGCACGGGGCAGAGCCGGGAAAGCACCCAAGGCAGCACGTGCGAATCCACGCATGCAAGCAGAAGCGAAACATTTGTTTTTGAACCCAGAACCATCTGAGACAGCATTTGGTGTTTTCCCCGTTTCCCAGAAATCAGACTTAGGCCTGAGAGATGGCAAGGCACAAGGGGGGTGTGCGCGCCACACTGTTCTTCACTCCACTCTATAAATACTCTCAGAACGGTCCTCACGGGGGTCATCTAGAGGTTTTTCGCCATATGGCACCTCCAGCTAGAGATTTTTTTTGGCTTGCTATCAGCCCCAGTTGGCGAATGGGTTTGCCATCAGTCTATGCGGGGCTGAGCAATTTGTGGCCGTCCCTGTTTTAGCCCACGCCTCCCGTCCAACTGCCACCACCCGGAGCTATTCCAGAGCGGAGAGAGAAGGGGGGGGTCCTGCAGACAGCCTTGCTAAAAGGATTGTTTTTCTCCTCTGCCCCCCTCCCTTCTCCGCAAGGGTGCGCCTCAGTGTGCAGGCAGGACTGTCTTCCTTAATTGAGTCTTTGACCGATTACATGCAGGCCGCCCTGAGAACCCAAACAGTTAAGCAGCAGCAGACGATGCTCAGATAAATTTAGTCCATTACATTTTATAGCCCGCCTCTTTTCCTCTTGGAAGAAACCTCGGGAGGCATGCGCGCTCCTCTTCTTCCTCCCCATTTTGTCCTCACAACAAGGCTGTGCGGTAGCTTAGGCTGTCAGTCAGTGACTGGCCCAAAGTCACCCAGAGGCAGTTATTCCTGGAGCGCTTTCCGGGGCCAGGGTGGCACTGACTCGTCCAATGAGGGGCCTGGAAAATGGGGTCTGAGGCCACAAACATGGCGGAGAAGAAAAGGTTACCTCGAGGGCGCTGTCTCCAGGTGTTCAGGCAGATCTTGGGACCCAATAAGGTTTGGAAATGCTGGGAAGGGACGTGGGAGAGGAGCCAGGCCCAATCCTTGACCCCACGACACAGCATCAGGCGAGAGGGGCGTGCTGATCTAGGGGGCTTGCCCAGCTCCAGAGGGGCACAGCCGGAGGGGTGGGGCCCAGGATTACAGAAAAGGGGGGTTTTCGGAGATAGATCCTGGTTCGGGTTCCACAAACCACTCAGTAAAAGCTCGGAGACTCTTGCTCTGTTAGCCATTAGTTTGCTGGCTGCACATTGGAAATGAAGTGCCTCTTGCCAAAGCCTTCTGAAAGTCCCTGAGCGGCTTGAGACCAGGATCCCTGAAGGAACATCTCCCTCCCTACATGCCCTCACGCCCCTTAAGATCTGCGGGAGAGGCCCTGCTCCGGGAACCCTCCCTGAAGGAGGTAAAAAGGACATCTACTCGGAGTAGGGCCTTCTCTGCGGTGGTGCCCAGATTGTGGAACGTGCTCCCCAGACAGGTTCGCCTGGTGCTGAGTTTATACTCTTTTTGGCGCCAGGTCAAAACCTTTTTATTTAACTGTTATTTTAAAAATTAGTAAATGCAACATTCACGTTTTATTGGTTATATGGTATTTATTGTTTAGATTGCTTTAATGTATTTGATTGTATTGATTGTGAGCTGTCCCGAGATGCCATGCAGAAGGGACGGAATATAACATTTTTCAATGAATGAATGAATGAATGAATGAATGTGGGCATGCTTCTCACTCTTACTTCCCACCTCAAAGGTTTTCTTTTACAGCCTGGACAAAGCATCGGCCCTCGGAAAATGCCACGCCCTGTGCCCTGGAAGAAGGCATGTCACAGATGCAGGGGGTTCGCCAACCGGCAGCCTCCTCAACCAGCAGGCGCTCCTCCACTGCATCTCTGCGCTGCAGGCGACCCGGCCGGGCCAGCCCAAGGCGCTCTGCTGCCTGAGCTGAAGGGCCAGATGGCTCCCGCTGCCATGGCAGGTACAGAAGCCGGCTGGACCGGCGGCTGAATCCTCCTCCGACACTGGGGGTGGGCCGGCAGGAAGGCTTGCGGAGCGCCAGGCAGGCCCCCCAGCCCCTGCCCTGCTTGAGGCAAAGCTGCACTCTGTCCAGTGACGGGACCAGCCCAGAAAGGACTCTGCGTTCATGCCTGACGCAGAACTGCAGCTGCCACCGCCATCAGGTCCCTCCTGGAAGGCGATGAACGCCAGGGTCATACAGAGATGCAGCGGGAAACCTTCAGCGCCTCTTCCTCTGTAGGTGGATATGCTGGACTTCCATGCACTGGTGATGGTTTCACCGACTTTCTTTCTCATGGCACGCTAGCCAGCCTTTCAAAGCACGCAGTCTGGAAACCAGTCCAGGTTTCCGAGAGAAGGATTTCCAGGAAGGCTTCAGACAGCCTTGCATTTCACACGCGGTCTACCGCCGGTGAGGAAGAATTTCACGCAAGTGGGTGACGGAGAGAAGAGGGTGTGATCTCCCTTCTCCTGCCAGCCCCTTGCCAGGCGACTCCAATGCGGAGAGCCTTTTCTCCACGCTGGCTGTGGAGGAAGGGGCGAGACCTCTGCAGCATGCCTGCGCGTCAAAGGTTCGGGGGGTGACAGTGGCTCTCACAGAGCTTTAGGCCACCAGCTGAAACTCCAGTGGCTTTCGTGCAACCTGACAGCTGCTCCTCACCTGAAGCACGAGGTAGGAGAGGCAGGAGGCTTCCCTGTGCCCCCAACCGCCTTGGATCGATTCTGTGCTCTATAAATAGCATCCCCGGAGAGGAGAATCGTGAGAATGCACTCTAAAAATATCCTTTCTCTGCCTCTCTCGCCCTGATGGCTCCCGCAGCAGCTTCCTGACTTCACTGATTGGCACTGCAGTGAGAGCGATCTCTACCGCCGTGGAGGGAAGGGCTGCTTTCCCAGAGTCGGCCGTCGGGCAAAGCACCCACAGAGGAAAGGGGAAGATGAGCCTTAGCAGCCCAGGAGAGAGACCTGCGGCTTCAGAGCAAGCAGCTCTGCAGGGAGGGGGAAAGGACATGCCTGAGGCGGCAGGAGGCAAGGCAGAGGCGATGGGGGCAGGACTGCAGAAGCGGAGGCGAGACGGAGTCCAGGGTCCCACAGCAAGCCCAAGTCCCAGCCACAGGGCAGGCCCGGGCCAGGGCAGAACAAGGGCATGGTCACAAGCAAGCTAAGGGTCAAGAACAGAAGACAAACTGAGGTGCAGGTACCTTGAGGCAGGAAACGTGGCCGGGCTTTAATCCCTATAAACCGCCCAGAGAGCACTGGCTAAAGGGTGGCACGGGGATGCAAAGAAAGAACGGGGAAGGACTTTCTCTTGGTTTCTCTCTCCACCTCTTGTGTTGTCTCTGGCTCAGGTGGCCTACAAATACCATCATTCCCTGCCAGAGTAGCCCACGGGAGTCACAGGACAAGCGATCTGGAGGCCACAGGTTGCCCACCCCTGTGGCACGCAGCCTTCCCCTGGCCACCCCATCTTCCACAGAGAGTGCAAAGGCGCCACTGGGCAAGGAAGCGCTGCCCGCAACTCAGGCAAAGACGGCTCGGTAGGTGCTGGAGGTGAAGCGGGGAGGACTGCCTGCCTTTCTCTGCGTGGGCTTTCATACCGAGTGGGTGTTGAGCAATTGTCAGAATCTGTGACAAGTTAATTGGAAAGCAGAGAACAAATGGGTAGAGGAGAAAGGCAAAGCACTGAATCAGCACGGCACGAGGAGAGAGGAAGGGGCCCAACTCGGCAGCAGGGCAAATGCTGTGCTTGTGGGAAGTCCGATGGCCCAGCTTGCCCAGTTCCTAAAGCTTCTGGGCTTCCCCCACAGGCCCTGGAGAGGAGCTGCCAGTTTGGCCTGGCTGTATACTGGGCTGGGCGAGTTCCTGCGCTGACTCAGGTCGCGCCTGTCTTCATAGACTTCTCGAGTCTTGGAGCAGGAAGAGCAAAATTTAAGACCCCCGGGTGAAACAGCCTGTCTGCGGTGCAGGGACAAGCCCATGGAGGCGGGGCGGCAGAGAGTGCCAAGGCGCCCGTCACCTGGTGGTTTAGCACACATAATTCAACACTGATCAGCGTGCGTTTACCTGGAAGTAAACCCAACCCCTGCATTTGCTTCATTTACGTCTAGGTCCACCGTAACCTGAGGGCTGGGTGTGAAAACCCAGCGGCCCACAGCAAATGCAGCCTCAGGTGTAAGGTGAGGATGAGGAGGGTGCCGTTCCCGGGGCGGTCGGAAAGGGATGCCCCGCAGGGCGACTGGGAGAGCGTGGCAGGGAAGCAGCACTCACACCTCGCCTGGGGGGGCCTGGAGGCAGTGGCCACGGGGAGGGTCACTGGTGGCGGCGGGGGTGGGCTCAGCCTTGGCCACAGAGGGCACCGCACGCCAGCGACCAGCCAGACCGGGCCGTGGGATGCTTGCAGCCCTGTGTCCTGTCGCCCAGGTTAGCGTTGCAGTGAGGGACCAGGGCAAGCTGGTGCCCCCAGCTGTTTTGACTACAACTTCCAGCATTCCTCAGCCATGCCGTGTGGGGTGATGGGAGCTGAAGTCCTAAATACCTGGAGTGCGCTGGGCTGGTGAAGACAGGACGCCGCCCCCCACTGTCTCCTAAAAGGTCTGACTGATCCCGCCATCTCACCTGGACAGGTGGACACGCTTCTCTGTGAACTGGCCTCGGCCGTGGACAGGATCTTCATGAGGTTCGTTTTTCACCACTTCGACCCCCTCACCCTTGTCACTTTCTTGGTGGCTGTGCTTGCTGATGGTGTAGAGCTGCCCAACCCGGTACTGCCAAGGAAACACACAAAGCAAAACACCCACAGGCGGTTTGCAGAGCAACCCAAGAAGGGACGACGAAGGTTCTCCCACCTGCCAGTGTTCCAGCTGCACAAGTTCTGTCTTACTGGACAGTCAAACGCCAAAGGCAGAGGGCAGGGCCCAGGCAGCCCCCCCCCCGCATGCGCTCAAAAGCCCCTGTAGCCAGTGAATACGCCTCAGGAGAACCTGGCGTTTTGCATGGCGTTTTATCTGCTGTTGTAAACCACTCAGAAAGCTTTGCCTTGTGTGCAGCACAGAAATATAATCAATACTAACGAGAAGCATTTCAATATTTTAGAATGGGTGGAACTGTGCAAAAGCCAGGAGATCGCCAGTCAGGGGAAGGGCGTGCGGCCATCCTGGGAACCCTGCCAGACCAGAGTGCGACCCCAGGAAGGCTGAATTTCGCCCATGGGCTGAAGCATCCACGCCTCTGCTATCCCTCATAAACCAGCCCCTAGCGCTGGGTGCCACATTCACCATCGCTCTCTAAATCCTGTATACTAATAGAATCCTAACAGCCATCACCATCACCTTCCCATATACAAATAGCAGACATTCCTTGGGTGCTGATCCTGAAATAGCCAAAGTAACACCAGCCATGACCAAAAAACCCCAAGGTTTACCCCAAATGGTGGCCTCAGCAATATTCTGAATAAATACTTCTTTTTGCAGATGAGGTCTCTTGCATCAGTCCTGCTTGAGGGATCCTCTGGGCAGCTGGTTTGCCACCATGCACATGGACTAGATGGGCCCACCATGTGCCCCAGGACCCAAGCAACCAAACCAGCGTCCAAATGTTAAGCCACGTCCAGTTCCGCAATCCAGAGCCACAGTCGGGAAGAGCGGAGACAGAAGGCAAGCACAGTCCAGCAAACGACAGCACAGTCCAGCAAACGGCAGCATAGTCAAGGCAAGCCGCAAGTCAGAAACCGGGGACGCGAGCCACAGGTGGAGATACCTGGAGCCCAGAGCCGGGGCAGGGGCGCCAGTGCTGCCAACCGGGAGGCACATGGCAAGTCAGAAGACCCTCACGGCTGAGGCGGCTTCCGGAGGGAGGAGTCCGTGCTCCCCCCAGGCCCCCAGCCGGTGCTCGCGGGGCCACGGCGGCTGCGGAGACTGCGCGCGCGATCCCGCAACTGCCAGGCCGGCTATGCTGGTCCTTGGCCAGCAGGGGGAGCCGCGAAGCTGCCTCAGAGCCTGACTGGACGAGAGGGGCCCCGGCTCAGACCCGGCAGGGCTTTGCCGGTGTTCTTGCTTTCAATTCCAGTCTAATGCAGCACAGCAGCTACGCAGCGCTGGCGCGGACTTGACTGTGGAGCCTGCCGCCAGCCCCTCAGAAATAGGCGGGTGCTGCTCCGACTGACCTTACCGGGCTACTGTAAAAGTGACTCGGACAATACTCCGAAAGCACAAGAATGCCCTCCTGCACACCAGCCTATCCCACCCTGGTGCAACTACCAGATGTGTTGGACTGCAACTTCCATCATCCCCAGCCAGCATAACCGAAGGCTGATATATTTATTTAACTATGCATTTATAAACTGCTTCGGGCTACACACTTCCAATGCACTTTCCAAGGAGTGAGTCTTGTACTCGATGCAGCTTGCTTCTCAGTGGGCATGTAATGGATTGTGCTGCAAAGCACTTGCAAATGCTAATTCTGATTAGCACTTTAAAGCCTTTCTTGTCAAAAATTAATAGCTTCAATCCATAAAACAATGTTTGCTGAAGAAGCTTCACTTCTCATTTGTTCTTTAGAATGACTTTAATTGAAACAAGAAAAATCCTCTGATCTATTTTCTTTTTCTTTACACTTAACTATGCTAATTCTTACCCCTGCCAACCCCTTCAACTGAAAAGGAGAGAAAATCTGGAGTTTTTACACAAGAGCAAAACATACAGGAGTACATGATACTAAGTAGCTAACACCCACCCACACCATCATCTGGCAATCCTGGTGCTCTCGGAGCTCGCTTCATCCAAGCGCACGTACGGAACGTGTGCACGTGTGCAGGAGCCATTATTTTACCATTCCAAACACACACGAGAGAGAAGACAGGATGTGGGTAGCAGGAGGTTCCCATCCAGCCTGTCGGATTGTTTCCCTAGTCCTGCTCCCTCTTGTCCTGCTCCCTCTTCGTCTCCAGGGGGACAATCTCTGATCACAGAAAAAAAGCTTTTTCTTTAGGGCAGAGCCGGAGGGGCAGGGAGGGAGCTGCCAAGTGAGTTGGTCCTCCTTCCTTCCGAGCCTCGACCTGATACCTCATGCGTAGTCCCACATACATGCTGGGCTCTTCTCTGCATGCAGGTGCTCCCGTGTGCCGGGGTTCCTCCTGCAGCTGCCGCCCCTTACATACAGACAAGGCTGTATGGCAGCCAGAAAACCTTCGACCTTTGCAAAGCGTTACCACCTAGATTTATTTCCTCTTGAAATGCTGTTCCACTTATGCTGCAGGGAAGTAGTGCCCTGTGAAATCTAAGCAAGCCCCTGGGGACCCACAGAGAAATCAGGATCTAGGGTAGCAGTGGGGGGAACGGAGAGAGGCAGAGAAGGTTGGTGGAAGGAGCATGCCTGTAAGTGCGCTGGTCCCTCCAGCTACTGTGTCGACCTCTCAGAGATTTGCTCCCACCGCACCTCAAAATCTAGCCTTTGGCACAGCCCACCAGTCCTCATGCACTGGTGCAACCCAGCCTGCAACTAAGCCTGCGCACATGCGACTGAAAAGAGGGAGCCTCTCGCTCCCCTGCGTCCCTTCCGCTCCGGTTCCACAGCGCGTCCCCCTGTGCCCGGTTCTGGATTGTAAGCACCCTGGGGCAAGTTCACTTGCACCCTGCAGAACACCACGCATGCTGGTGCCACTAGATGTTGTTGTTGACGAGGATGATGCGGGACATCCCTCCTGGCCTGTCTTTTCTTCTGAGCATCTGCCCACGTGCCACGTTTTGGAAACTGGAGGACTGGCAAGCAGCAGTTTGGTGGCGCGTCTGCAAAGCACCAAAGCCGGCGAGGGAGAGGGGGCAGCTGAGCTGTGGCCAGAACAGCAGCAGAGGCATCCCTGTGGCTACAGAAGGGGGTCCCAGAGCTTGGGACCCCGCTGGGCTCCACAAAGGGCACTGGTGTCCTGCAGAAGGTCATGGCTGGGGCACCCTGGGGACCCCCGAAGAGCAGTGCTTGTGGCTAAAAGTGATCTTGGCCTGTCCCCAACTGGGAGGCAACTGGGAGGTAGGAAGGAATCCAAGCAGAGAGGCAGGACAGCAAAGGGAGAGAAAGACCCGTTTCACCAGGCTGCTGAAAGAATCCCCCTGTGAAGACCCGCGGCAGCTTGAGGGCTCCCTCTGCTGGCCAAGGGCCGGCGGAGCAGCTCTGGAGGCTGCAGGTTTCTGACCCCAGCCCACTGCAGCTGCCAAGGCGCTCAGGAGTTCCGCCTGGGGAGCCCTGGGGAAGAGCCATACAAGAGCCAGCTCTTCCCTCAGGAGCTGCCTGGGCAAGAAAGGCCTCCCGTTGTCGGCGAAGCCCTCCCTGGTCTGCTAGACCCGGAACTCCGCTCCTGCGTCCTGCCTGTGTGCCTCGGTCCTGCTTCCAGCCTCCACCTCTGCCCTCCCCGACTGGCCTGCCTCCCCCGGTTCCCCGACCCTTGGCTCGCTCCAGACTACGCTACCCATAGCGTAGCCTTGCCTAGTATGTCGACCTCCGGCTTGGCCTTGGACTGTGTTCTGGACTTGCTCTTGCCACGCTCTGCCTGCCGGGTCCCGGTGCCTCTACCCTGCTAGTCAGCCGCCCTCGCCCCAATTCACCAATCAATCCCATGCCGTGCTGCCCAATAGCCTGAGAGCTGAAGCAGCAAGAAGTTGCTCATGCAAGCAGCTCAGGGCAGGGACCCGGTGAAGCTGTGCCTTGCCTGCTCCCCTCTCGGGGGCCACTCCCCAACCGGGGCTCTACCTCGGTCGCTTGTAAACTTTTACAGTTGGAGACAAGCAAACGCAGGAGAATTATTTCAGGGGCCACTCAGGCAGAAATAAAAAGAATTATATACATAATGCAGTATTTTATGTACTGATTTTTAGATATAATACTAAAAATGAAACTTCTCTAAAATAACCAGAAACTGAGCAGTAAACATGCTAATAAAAGAATAAAATATTGAAATTAAATGTAATCGAATACAACTGAAATTTTTAGAAACTGAATTAAATTAGCAATATTTAATTCAAATAACGCTTGTGTGAAATCTGCTGTTGCTTCTTTTCAAATCAAAAAGATTAAAAACTTACAATAGCAAAACACAAAATCAATATAAATGCAAAACTACACGCATAGCAAATACAAATTCAAATACAATATTCACAGCGGAGCACTACGAAGTCAAACAAAGTTAATCCAATAATATTCATAATGTTAAATACTGAAATACTATGACCCCCCTCCCACTCAACCCCCCCCCCCCCCGTACACTCCAGCACAGATTGGCAGAGAAAACACACTCAGGCCAAGTCTGTGTCAACATTTCCCTTACCAGCAGACAATACAGCAGAGAAAGGCCCCAGAGGGCAGGTGGTGCAGTGTGGCTCCCACTGAGCGGCCTCCCCGCTCCCCGGCCTCCTCCACGGAGGAAGAGGTGGGGAATCCACAGGGAGAGCACAGGTATCCCGCTCTGGTCTGCAGCAAGCGGATGCAGCTGTCAGCAGCTCTTTCACAGACCGGCAGGAAATGCCAGTGGACCAGGGCTGGTCCAGAGCCCGGTGGTTGAAAAACGCTGCTCTACCTTTTGGGTTAAACATTACTTCAACCTACTATTAGATCCCATTGCTGGAGACATAGACCTGAAATCAATCCAGGGTCTGATTAGCAATGAATATTGTACGAGAATTCTCCTAACTTTTACTAGCCATACAGTCCCAGCTCTGATCAGGAGAAGGAGGATCCAGCTAGTACCGAAAGGGGGGTTCCCATTTTGGCATTTCAAAGGCACAATCATTAAACCTCTATTTGCTTAGAAAGGGAGAAAATAACAAACCCTTCATCTAACCCAACATCCTCACGGGTCTTAAAATGGCAGAACCCAGCATAGAGGATCACCAATGGGACCCAAAGGAGGCCGGCAAGCTGCAGAGAACTGCCCGAGAAACCAAAACAAACTGCTTCAGGACTGTGACTGGTCGGCTTCAGAAGGAAAAGAACTGATAAGCCCCTTCACCAAACTTCCCAATAAGGAACAATGCAATATCATTGCTAAATCAGCTAAGCTACAATCCAGACTGAGTCAAACTCAACAGCATACCAGGAAAATATACTGGAATGATCTGTTAATCAAACTCCCACCCATTCGATATCTAAAGATGCCAAGCTATGAAGTCCCCCCCCCACCCCCGAGTATGAAAGAGTCTGCTACAGTTTAGACAACCCGAATGCAATGTCCTGGCAAAGATACCAAGGATTAGACACTCCAGAAATAGGTAGTCCCCTTCCTAGGATTGGAGAAACTGCAAAAACTACAGGCTGAACCCCCATGGAAATGCAGAGTGGTAGTGCCTTTTTTTTCATGACAGATCTGGGCACTTAAACAGAGTGGAAGCGCTAAGTTCAGAACCCTAAAGGACGTTGGGATAAAAGTGTAGTCCTGGAACAGAGCGAGATGGTGCTCAAAACAGCATAACATAGTTACTGAAATATAATGAATGCTTTATCTTGCTGCAAGAAACGTGGCACTGTGAACCCAGAAGACTTAATGGTGGCAAATGATTTTCTTTATCAGTTGTTAAAGAAGGTGGTTGGGGCAGTGGTGGACTAGCCTATGTTACTCCTACTAAGGGGGAGGTATGTCAATACAATAGCTATAAGTGCGCGCAATTGTATTGCGACACTGTTTGTGTCACTTTCTTAAAAAGGCATCTCATGCTGGTCAATGTCTACACACCACCCGGCTTGAAAAAAATCACTGGTAAAGGCCAAGTGGATCGAACGCGAGAATCTTTTGAACGGTCCTATCCTGGTGCAGCGTTTACCATTGCAGGGTGCTGATGAGGCAAGCCTGAATTATGAATAGATTCTGGACTCAGACATTTACCCAGAACGTGCTTTCTCTCGATACTCCGAGGATATTAGGTAGAATTATTCTGGGTTCTGCTTAGCCCAATTTGTAAGAAGGGGAGGTTTGATCATTTTAAATGGTACAGCCACGGGTGATCCACCCGGGGAATATACCTGTTTTTCTCGTTTGGGAGGCAGCGTGATCGATTATGCTGCACTCTCCCCCTGCGACCCAGGGGTTGACTCCAGGGCAGGCAGATTCCCACGTTCCTACACTAGGACGCAAGAAAAGCCCTGCTGGGTCAGACCAGGGCCCGTCTGGTCCAGCACTCTGTTCGCACCGTGGCCGGCCAGCCAGCTGCCCAGAGGACCCCACAAGCAGGCCAGCGGCCCCTCCGGCCAAGCCCCCCAGCCAGTGAGTGCAGGCCACTGCCGTCAGCACCGCAAGACACCAAACAGCCATCCAGACTCCTAGCCACGGTCGCCTTCTCCTTTGTCCGACTCTCTTTCAAGCACTCCAAAATGGTGCCGTCACAGCAGCTCGTGGCAGTGAATTCCCTCCTCAACTCTGCACTCTGAAGAAGCCTTTCCTTGCATATATTCTGAATCTGCCGCCCATCCGCCTCCTGGGATGACCCTGGGAGAGGCAGGAAATGTCTTTTTTCCTCTTTCTGCACACCACTCCTAATTCTGAACGCCTTT